ATCGGAAATTGTGAGGAGAAAATTAGGAATTGTGAGGGGAAGCATATCGGGAATTGTGAGGAAGAAAATTTTGGAATTTTGTGGGAAAAATATCGGGAGTTGTGAGGGGGAAAATTGAGAATTTTGAGGGGGAAAATTGGGAATTGAGAGGGGAAAACATCGGGAGTTGTGAGGGAAAAATATCAGCAATTGTGAGGGGGAAAACATCGGAAATTGTGAGGGCAAAAAACAAGAGGTGTGAAGGGGAAACATTGGGAAGTGTGAGGGGAAAATTGGGAATTGTGAGGGGGAAATATCGGAAATTGTGAGGAGAAAATGAGGAATTGTGAGGGGGAAAATTGGGAATTTTGAGGGGAAACATCGGGAGTTGTGAAGGGGAAAATACAGGGAATTGTGAGGCGGAAAATTGGGAATTGTGAGGGGAAACATCGGGAATTGTGAGGGAAAATTTGGGAATTTTGAGGGGAAACATCGGGAATTGTGAGGGGGAAATATCGGAAATTGTGAGGAGAAAATTGGGAATTGTGAGGGGGAAATATCGGAAATTGTGAGGAGAAAATGAGGAATTGTGAGGGGAGAAATATCAGGAATATTTTTGGAAACATCGGGAGTTGTGGGGGAAAATTTGGGAATTGTGAGGAGAAAAATATCGGGAATTGTGAGGGGAAACATCGGGAATTGTGAGGGAAAATTTGGGAATTTTGTGGAAAAAATATCCGGAGTTGTGAGGGAGAAAATTGGGAATTTTGAGGGGGAAAATTGGGAATTGAGAGGGGAAACATGTCAGGAATTGTGAGGCGGAAAATTGGGAATTGTGAGGGAAAATTTGGGAATTTTGAGGAGAAAAATATGGGGAATTTTGAGGGGAAACATCGGGAATTGTGAGGGGAAAATATTGGCAATTGTGAAGGGGAAACATCGGGAGTTGTGAAGGGGAAAATACAGGGAATTGTGAGGCGGAAAATTGGGAATTGTGAGGGGAAAACATCGGAAATTGTGAGGGAAAAGTATCAGGATTTTTGGGGGGAAAAAATGGGAATTGTGAGGGGGAAATATCGGGAATTGTGAGGGAAAAGTATCAGGATTTTGGGGGGAAAAATGGGAATTGTGAGGGAAAAATATCGGGAGTTGTGAGGGAAAAATATCGGGAGTTGTGAGGGAGAAAATTTGGGAATTTTGAGGGGAAAAATATCGGGAGTTGTGAGGGGGAAAATTGGGAATTTTGAGGGGAAAATTGAGAATTTTGTGGTGGAAAATTGGGAATTTTATGGTGGAAACTTGGGAATTTTATGGTGGTAAAAATGGGAATTTTGTGGTTGAAAATTGGAATTTTATTGTGAAAAATTGAGAATTTTGTGATGGAAAATTGGGATTTTTGTGGTGGAAAAAAGGAAACTTTATGGTGAAAAATTGGGAATTTTATGGTGGAAAATTTGGAATTTTATGGTGGAAAATTTGGAATTTTATGGTGGAAAAAAGGGAATTTTGTGAGTGAAAAGGGCGGGAGTTTCCCCCCGGAGCCTCCCAGTAAATCCCAGTTTGCCCAGTAACAACATGCTGTACCCCAAGGAGGACAAGGAGAACCGGATCCTGCTCTACGCTGTGAGTGCCCAAACTGGGACCAGTTTGGGACTGGGACTGGGACGGGGCCCTCCCAGTTCATCCCAGTTTGTCCCAGTCCCTCCCAGTCCATCCCAGTCCCTCCCAGTTTGTCCCAGTGCCCTCCCAGTCTGTCCCAGTCCGTCCTTGTTCATCCCAGTCCATCCCAGTCTCCTCCCAGTGCCTCCCAGTTCCTTCTAATCCATCCCAGTCCCTCCCAGTCCATCCCAGTTCCTCCCAGTCCCTCCCAGTTGATCCCAGTTTATCCCAGTGCAGGTGCTGTGATTTCCCCAGTCCCTCCCAGTTTATCCCAGTTGATCCCAGTTCATCCCAGTCCCTTCTAATTCATCCCAGTCCTCTCCCAGTTTGTCCCAGTTCATCCCAATCCCCTCCTAGTAATTCCCAGTTGATCCCAGTTTGTCCCAGTAGATCCCAATCCCCTCCCAGTCCATCCCAGTTTGTCCCAATCCCCTCCCAGTTGATCCCAGTCTATCCCAGTGCAGTAACTGTGATTACCCCAGTTCCTCCCAGTCCCTCCCAGTTTGTCCCATCCCTCCCAGTCAATCCCAGTTTATCCCAGTGTAGGAACTGTGATTACTCCAGTCCCTCCCAGTTTATCCCAGTTCCATCCCAGCCCCTCCCAGTCCCTCCCTGTTTGTCCCAGTAGATCCCAATCCCCTCCCAGTCCATCCCAGTTTGTCCCAATCCCCTCCCAGTTCATCCCAGTTTGCCCCAGTCCATCACAGTTCATCCCAGTTCATCCCAGTTAATCCCAATGCCTTTCAGTCCCTCCCAGTGCCCCCCAATTCCCTCCCAGTCCATCCCAGTTTGTCCCAGTGCCCTCCCAGTGCCTCCCAGTTCCTTCTAATCCATCCCAGTCCCTCCCAGTGCCCTCCCTGTTAATCCCAGTCCCCTCCCAGTTCCTCCCAGTTCCTCCCAGTCCATCCCAGTTTGTCCCAGTCCCTCCCAGTCCATCCCAATCCCCTCCCAGTCCATCCCAGTCCCTCCCAGTTCATCCCAGTTTGTCCCAATCCCCTCCCAATCCCTCCCAGTCCCCTCCCAGTGGATCCCAGTTTGTCCCAATCCCCTCCCAGCCCCCTCCAGTCCCTCCCAGTCCCTCCCTGTTTGTCCCAGTAGATCCCAATCCCCTCCCAGTCCATCCCAGTATCTCCCAGTCTGTCCCAATCTCCTCCCAGTCCATCCCAGTGCCCCCCAATTCCCTCCCAGTCCATCCCAGTTTGTCCCAGTCCATCCCAGTTTGTCCCAGTCCCTCCCAGTCCCTCCCAGTCAATCCCAGTCTGTCCCAGTGCAGGAACTGTGATTACCAGCAGGAGGCCGACAACAGCTGCATCTACGTCAACAAGATCACGCACGAAGTGGAGTGAGTGCCCAAAATATCCC